TTACGCTCAGAAGGATTCAGTAAAGAGCTCATTGTTCTTTAAACGTGTGACTCAGTTCTGACTCTAAAGCTTACAGCATTTTCATGGTACTGTTGCAATACTGTCAATACTCGAAACTGGATTTCATGGACGAGTTTAGGGTCCCAGTCCTCTATTTGTTAATCCTCTCTTGTGACTTCTTTCTAATAATACTGATAATTGAGTCTCTAGAGTGTGATAAGCCTGGCCATTTTTTAAGGAGTTCACGAGCTAAGTCCTGGGATTTGAGAGAAAGATATGTAGCTCAGGGAGGCCCAAGTTCCCTTCTCTTCCAGAACATACTAAAGCTAACAAGTGATTAGTTGACTGTCAGGGTTATCTGCTCCAGTGCCATCCTTAACCTGCTGGCACCCTCTGCGCTCAGCATTAATTGCTTTAGAAGAAGAATGAAATCCTAAAGGAAGTCTGAGACACTCAGCATTCTATCTCTGCACACTTTCAGTGTTTCCATTAATGTCTAATATACATAATTAAAATTTGTTCTGTGCCATTTAGTATGCACATGTCCTCAAAGAATGCCTGTATCCTCACACAAGGAAAGTGAAAGCTTAAAGGTGGGAAACACAATCTTAAACATCGCACTTGGAAATGACTCATGTCACTTCCCTTTACACGTGTTTGGCAAGGACTAGTCCCATGACACAGCCTGATGGCTGAGTAGAAGCCCTCTGTGTACCCAAGGAGGAGAGATAGGGCAAAGATGAGCCGAGCCATATTGAGCTCTGCACGTGTAATGCTTTCTCCTATTTCTACTCAAACCCTCTGTTCTGCTGACACCTAGGATTCTTCAGTTCTCTTCTGCTGCCCCACGCACTGGGCTGCCCCAGGGAAAACATCTCCCATTCTCTGCACCTGTCCTGCTACACCTGTGCTCATTCCTCTGACATCTGAGCATTACTGCTGAGAATAGCACGGGATATAGTTCAAGGTAGGAAAGGGAGGCACCTCCTCTGTGCCTACAACCAAATTAAGGCCTTAACTGCTTTCCACTTCATCTTTATAAAAACTTTGCCAGATGCCTCTTATCCCCATCTTATAAATGGAGAAACAGAAGTCCTGAAATATACATAAGTGTTTATGTTGACTAGGAACCAGAGTTTCATTCATTCATTTAGTTTGCAACAAGCATTTATTTATTGACTGCACACCTTACTATTACTATGTGGTCCTTCATCCTCTAGAAGTTAAGAGTATTGTGTTTGGTTTTGGACAGGCATTGTATCCAGGCTAAAGAAGGTATTGCACCGCTGTGATTCCAGGTATAAATAACACCATGTCCTTCATGGGGCTAATGTAATGCTGTGCTGCAATCCCAAAGGTGCATGGTTCCAATCCACCAGATGCTCTGCAGGAGGATGGATCGTCTCCTCCTGTAACTTACTGCCTCTGAAAACTCACCAGAGGGTCAACTGTGGGTCAGTTTTTAATTGAGGGCACAAACCGCTGCCACCACCAAATATATATATATATATATATATAGGTTTCAGTGTAATTCCTGGCTTTATAATAGACACCTCGTAGGTGGTAATAAGTGGGAGAGTTAGATAAATTATAGTAATATGGTATAATAAGGACTATGATAAAAGTAAGCTCAGGGAGCACAGAGAAGGAAAAGTTAAATCAACTTAGGGTACTCGTTCCCAGAGTGTGTGGTTGCTGAGACTTGAAAGAAGAGTTAACCGTTGCCATATTCAACTATGTTGGAGAGTAAGGTATTGCAGGTCTTCCAAGCCAAGGATGAAGTAGTATGTACAAATCCTTGAAAATAAAAGAAGATGCCAATGAACTTGAATGGGAATGGGCAAAAGAGTCAAGGCTAGGACATCTGTGCAACTGGATGAGCTTAGTAGTGATCACAGGCAAAGCTGAAGTGTCAAGCAGAGCCAGGCTCCCAAACATCTATCTTGATAGTATGGAGAAGGGAGGGTCCATGCAGGAGAGAAAGACTCTGAGATGGAATGACATAGTGGCTGTAACAATGTGCTCAAGTGTGTCGAAGGTAACTCAGGACAGGGCAGGATTTAGAATTATTTGTTATTCACATTGTTGCTATGTGTTGTAGACAGCTCAACGACACATAACAACAAGAGCATGTAGAATGAGGAGTCTGTGGGTGGTGCAAACCGTCTACAGCTACTTCTGCTAACCAAAAGTGTGGCCGTTTGAGTCGACGATGAGGTACCTCCAAAGAAAATACCAGGCCGTCTACTTGCACAATCTCAGTCATTGAAAACTCTAGGAAGTGCAGTTCTGTTCTAACACACAGGGGTCGCCATGCCTCAGAATCAACGTGGTGTCCACTGTGTTCCTGGTTATGGAACAGGAGCATTATCCAGAGACAGAGGGAGCCTGCAGAGAGGCATGAACAGATGTCCTTTGTCACCAAAGATCAGATTGCTTCACTGCAGCTTAGAGAATGGATGGAAGAAGTGGGACTGAGGTAGGGAAGCGACTGCAGCACAGAACCATCAAGAGCCTGCAGAAGAGGCTCAAGGGAATATACGAGTCATCTCTTTTCAAACCTTCTGTTTCTTGTTTCCGAACTGAAAGCTCAACCAGTCCCCATCTTTCTACCTCAAAATTTTAAAAAAAAATGAGTGAAAATAGCAACTTACAACAAAGATTGGCAGATATTCCTGCAAGGGGCCAGAGAGTAAGTATGTTTTCAACTTTGAAGGCCATATGGTCTCTGTCACAACTACTAAATGTTCTCACTGGAGCCCAGAAGGAGCCACAAAGGATATGAATGTGGTTGTGGTCCAGTAAAACTTTATTTGTGGACACTGAAATTAAAATTCTGTATCATTTTCACATGCCGTGGAATATTCTTCTCTGATATTTTTCTAGACATTAAAAAAAAAAAATAGCACAAGCAATTCTTGTCAATGCACAGACATACACATGCACACACACAAGCAAATATACTAGGGCCAAAACCAAACAAACAAATGGGTGGTGGGGTTGGATTTAGCCCATGAGTCCTCATTTAGAATGTGCTTTGAAAATAGGAGAACTGCCGACACCTTTAAAGTAGGTGTACTAAGGCTATTTTTGACTGGTAATGACTTTTGTAGTATTTCAAAGCCATTAATCAAGCTTGCCATTGGTTTTCATTTCTGAAATGCTGTGTTTCCGGTTTATCAGTGCTCCACCTCTATTTTTTAGCGTGAGGAATTTCTGACAAATTGTTAAGGAATGTTACAGGAGAAACCTGCCCCCTTTGATCAAGTGTTAAGCGATACCCCTTCCTACTGGATGATTCTCTTTCGAGAGGCAAGTGGTAGGTCAACAAAGACAAGAGCCTTCAACTCAGGCAAACTTGATTTTAACTGTTGCTTCTGCCAATTTCTAATTTTGAGACCTTGAATGAGTTGCAGTAATCAGAGCCACCATTTCTTCATCCATTTATTCATTCATTCATTAAACAAATATTCACTGAGTGCCTATTATCTGCTAGGTACAATATCAGGCCCCACAGCACCACACCAGTCAACAAGACAGAATGTACCCTATGGATTACAGAATTGAGGGAAGGCAACCACATGTTTAATGGGAGGGAACCTGTCTCAAAATAGGGGAGCCACCCTAGATCTTCTAGAGAGAAGGAGTACAAAGATGACATCTGACACTGAGTAATTCTCAGCCAGGTGAAGAGGAAGGATGGGAGTATGTCTCATGTAAAGCCAATAGCCTGTTGTTGTTGTTGTTATGTGCTGTCGAGTCGCTTGTGACTCATAGCGACCCTATGTACAACAGCCCTAAACTCTGCTCTGTCCTGTGCCAATCGCACTGTCTCTGACACTCCCATCCCGATTATCCCAGTCACTGAATCAATCCACCTCATAGAGGGCCTTCCCCTCCTGCGCTGTCCCTCCACCCTCCCAAGCATGATGTCCTTCTCCAAGGACTGGTCTCTCCTCACAACATGTCCAAAGTATGTTAGACGGAGCCTCAGAATCCTTGCCTCCAAGGAGCCACCCGGTTTAACCCTTTCCAGGATGAATCTGTTTGTTTTCCTAGCAGTCCATGGTATTCTCAATACTCTTCTCCAGCACCACAGCCCAAAGGCATCAATTCTCCTTCTATCCTCCTTGGTCATTGTCCAACTCTCTGATGCATAACAAGTGCTTGCAAAGACCATGGCCAATAGCCTAGGTAAGACCTATAAACAAGAAACGTGTAAAAAAATGAAAAAGAAACGTGGGGATAATGGAAAGTAGATTGTTGGGCTTGGCGTCGAGTATAGGATGTGGTAGTGGGAGAGGAGAGAGCGCTCAGACTGAAGAAGCAGGCTGGGCACTCATCATTAGGGCCTTCGAGCTGGGCTAAGAGCTTTGGAGTTTACCTTGAGAGCTGTAGAGGTCACTGATATATCTCAACCGGAGGAAATGAATAGACTGAGGAGGAGTGAGATGACAAGAGAATCAAAGGGAAACATTGGTAATGAAATTGGGGTTGGATGGCAGCCTCAAGAGCTTTACAGGGAGAAGAATTGACAAGGCTTAGTGATTGATTAGAAGTAGGCGCTCAGAAAATAGGATACTGGGTGACACTCACGTTTCTAGGCTTAGCGAGTACAAGGTAGGGGACACCACTTAATAAAAAAGGGGGAGAAATGAGAGAAAGAAGCTTGGGTAGATAGGTGACAGGTTCATTTATAATAACACTGACCTTTCTGCATTGTTCTAAGTCACAGAAACACTGTACACGAGGCACCTGGCAGAGCACCTGGCATGTCATGGGTGCTTGATAAATGGAAACTCTTACCCTGGTTCCTTTTTTAAATAATCTATTTCAGACCTGCTTGTGTTGGATCACAGTATTCTTTTGCTACTTAGTGTGAGCTCGTCCGAGCCACAAGAATTGCAGTTTTGTTCACTGTGCCGCACGTTTTCATTTGTGTTTCTCTCTCTCTCCTTCTCTTCTGCATGCTGCCTGGGGACTGGCTTCCTTGTGGTCAGCACCAATGGGCAGCGCCCAGGTGACCCTGGGGACTCCACTCTGCCTCCTCACCACAGGTGATCACCAGAGCCCTGGGTGGGTGGGAGGGGAGTGAGAGTGTCCCACGCTCAGCAGATCCGCCAGGCCAGCTGCACCAGAGTGGAACTGCAGTCCCTCTGCCCCACCACCCATCTGTCTTTCTGTCCATCCACCCACCCATCCATCCATCCATCCACCCACCCATCCATCCATCCATCCATCCATCCACCCACCCACCCATCCATCCATCCATCCACCCACCCATCCATCCATCCATTCACCTACCCACGCATAAAGTTTACTAAGTTCTAAGTATTGGCTGCCATGTGCCGGGCACTATTCTAGGCATGGAGGAAGTCAGTGATGAACCAGAGCAGGCATATTCCTGTATTTTTCCAGGAGGGGTTAAAAAACTCTTAGTTAAAAAGCCACACAAATGGGGGAGCTCTGGTGGCCTAGTGGCAAGGAGCTGCAGCTACAATCCCAGAGTCACACGGTTCGAATCCACCAGATGCTTTGCCGGGGAAGGAGGGACAATCTCCTCCTGTACCAGTCAGATCTGATTTGACGGTACACTCACACAAAAACAATAAAATTAAAATAAAAAAGCCACACAAATAAGTGCACAACTGCCGCTTGGCATTTTTGTTCCAAACAAACCAACACTCTGGAGCCAGGGGAGAGCTAAGAGACCACTAAGCAGTGATTAGACATTGGTCTAACATGTCAGAGCCTGGGGATAGTGGGGAGCTGAGGATCAGCTCATACCTGCCACTGCCCTGCACATGTCCCTTGAACTGGATGAGTGACACTTTCCCCATCTGCTAATCAGGACTGGATTGACAAAGTGGCTGGATTGAAGCGTAGATTGTAAGGATAGTACAGGAGAAGGCAAAAATTAGTCACAGCATTATTTTCTTTTCACATGTGAAAATTTCCAATTTATTCCCAAATTTCTTTTCATCCCACCCATGTGGGATTTTCTGTCATGGATTTTTTAAAATTAATTTTCATGAACGTTTACAGAGATTTTGGACTTCTGTTCATTCATTGTTACACTTTTCTCCCTGCATACCCTTCTGCCCCAGTTCGCTCCTCTCTTTGAAAAGTAAAAGAGAGATAGTCACAGCATTATTATGAGTCCTCGTTGACTCAATGACCCCTAACACCAACAAACACAGATAAAAATGCTGGCCTGTTAGTGACAGTGTTTACCTGGAAGAATCTTCACATGTCAGATCCACTGGAGGTATATTCATAGATGAAACAAGACCATGAACAGGAAAATGACTGGTGTGGGAATCTAGACTAGAGAACTCATAGTTGGATCTTATATACAACAGATTAAATATGTGCCTGGTAAGATACCCTTTTCTTCAGCACACTACAGATCAACCTCATTTCATTCCACCTATTAAAAGTTAGTGTACAGAGCCCATCCAACTTGAAGCCAGTCCACACATCCCAGAAGTCAGTGCTCACTGTGGGGTCCAGAAACAAGAGACCTTGCTGACCTCCATTCTGAAGAAGTCTTTTCTGTTCAATAGGAAGTTTCTTAAACTTTTCAAACTTCTGTTGGCTATCTCAAAGCCGGTGGTCCGGACAATGTCCTCTTTTGTCCCAAGCACTGAACAGATAGTTTTTCACAATGGGAAAGGGGGTACAGGACACAATTATGACCAGAGTCCAGCCTTTTAGCACTTTCTCAGTCCAAACCTACTTAGACACTTCCCAAACTCAGGAACATCCTTGTCAATGAGTATCTTAGGCTAGGTCCCTAAGAAACAGAGGACTTCTTTGTGCAAGTACTTACCAAGGCATGTCCTCAGGAAAGAAGGAAGACAACAGTCAAGAGTGGAGAAGGTAGGCAAGTTGTGGAAACCAGAATCAGGCTGGCACCAAAGGGAGTTGTGAAGCAGAAATTATACCATGGAGTCAATCGAGTATAACTTCATGTCAGTGACTGACTCTGCGGTGTTCCAGGGAAGTTTAACAATGCAGGCACATGGCTCCCCTTTGCCTAGGGAACTTCCTCAGGAAGGAGGGGCATCCCTGAGACATCAGTAGCCAGCACTCAAAGAAGCCAGAGAATGGGACTACAGCAATGGAACCCCAGTGGCATCCACAACTAAGGTCTGTCCCTTTGTATTGTCCACTGCCCACCACTGCCCAGGTGTTGCTGCCAACCCCTGAGGAATTCCATCATAGCCGTTCTCTGGTCATAGAACCACCAGCCAGTTAACCAGGAGCTGTGCAGTCCATTTCAACATGCGATAACCTCACAGATCAAGACCTTTAGATGGGCAACAGACACGTGAAGAAATGTTCAAAAATCACTGGCAATAAGGGAAAGGCAAATCAAAACCACTATGAGATACCATCTCACTCCAGTAGCAGTGGCAAAGTTTAAGAGGACAGCACACAATAACAGTTGGAAAGGATGTGGAGAGATTGGAACTCTCATACATTGACAGTGCGATTGTAAAATGGTACAACCACTCTGGAAGGCAGTTTAGTGTTTCCTCAAAAAGCTGAACATAGACATTCCATATGACGCAGGTATTCCATAGCTAAAAATATACCCTGAGGAAGATAGAACTGAGACACAAACAGAGATTTGTATACTGATGTTTATAGCAGTGTTGTTCACAACAGCAAGAAGATAGAAACATCCCAAATGATCATCAGCAAACAGATGCATTGGGAAATTGTGGTAGAGTCACACAATAGAATACTATGCAGCACTCAGAAGCAAGGACTTTTTAAAAAAAATTATATATATATATACACACACACACACACACACACATACGGGAGAGGCTGTAAAGCATTGTGCTGAGTGAAATATCTCAGTCTCATGAGGACAAATACTACATAAGACCATTATTGTAAAAATTGGAGGGTAACTAATGTGTCTGAAAGCCTAAGGAGGCAGGGGAGGGAGGAAAAACACTGAGGGTGGAGAAAGGGGTTAAATCATGAGGTTGTCGAGTTTGGTGGATACAGGGAGGGGGTGAAAGAAATACAAGAGATCCAAGTGGGGACAATAAAGACAGGGCAATTGTGGGCATGGATAAATAGTGATTAATTGTATAAAACATAATATATTGGAATGATCGCATGAAACACAATATGAATTAAAAGATGTATGTGCAAATCAATAAAAAGTAAAAATATTTTTTTTTAAAAAATCTGTTCCCTGGGGCTTTTCAGAAACTAGGTCTGTCTCTGAGGTCTCGCTGGGTAAGACATCAACCTCGTGGCTAACAGCCGGGCAAGTTAACAATTCAGACCAGGCAACTACTCTCTCGAGCATGTTACAGAAACCTACTTTACCTTCAAAACTAACCGTCACAATTCACAGGGTCCTGTTAAAAATGAAACTAATCTTTCCTAAAAACATGCCCAGAGAAGCCCTTGAAAGTACTCGGCTGCTTATGAAAAGTCAGCAGTTCAAACCCACCAGCCCTCCTGTGGGTCAAAGACGAGGCAGTCAACTCCCGTTAAAGATATACAGCTTCAGAAACCCTCAAGGCGGTTCTACTCTGTCCTGTACAGTCGCTGTGAGTGTGAACTGACTAGATGTGAATGAGTTTTGTGCAGATAGTGCCCGGCACAGTTACTGGGACTTCTCGACCAGGTCCCAGTCCCTCCCTGACCCTATCGCACGTTCCCCTTAGGAGGCAATGCATGGATGCATGGTGACAGGGACAGGACAGGAAAGCGATTCTCACCACCTTTGAGCCCGCACCTTATCTGTCCAGAAACAATGCTTCTCAGCTTCTGTGTGAGCAGCTCCATTTCTGCCAGGCCCATTGTTCTCTAGGCTCTATTCAACTCCAGCAGTCAGATAATGTTTTCTTTAAACACAGCCAATCCCGTATCAGGCACATTTGTTCTTACCTCTTGCCTTCCGAGGCGTCTGAATGTTCCTTCTCTGACAGGTTTATTTCATTGTGTTTCATTTATTTCCACGCGCTCCTCAGCCGTGTTTGATGGGTGAGATGCCTGCAAATGTTTCTCTCTGCACAGGCCGTCCCTTTCCGGGGCTGTTTTTGTTAATGCTCGTCCCCTGGTAGCAATAGCAGCTGATGTAAATATTAACTGTCTGGATCTGAGTGATGGGGATATTAGAGTATAAGCAAGGGCAGCCTCTGTTCACATCAGCGCCAGCTGAGAGAAAACGGAGGCGCCACATTTCGAAGCCACAACAAGGCTGGCACCAGAGTCACTTGAGGCTGAGTTCAGATCTGTCACTTTCTGACCTGAGCATCCTGGGCACGTTATTTCTCTAGTCTGGGCTTGATTCTGTCATCTGGCAACTACCCGCTGCCCTCCACTGAATTCAAACTCATAGAGACGCCGTAAGACACTGTAGTACGCCTTCCCTGATTTCTAAATCTCTATAAACAGAGACGGTGTCATCATTCTCCTGTGGAGCGGCTGGTGGGTTGAAAGCTAGGACCTTTGTGTTAGTGCTGTAACCACCACACCACCAAGACTCCGGGTGTTTTTCTTCCTGCCTTTGGGATTGCAGCACAGCTTCTTGCCATTAAGTCACCAGAGCTCAAGACTCCAGATGAGAAGGGATCAATTACCTTCTAGAACTACAGATTCTAAATAGGATTTTAGAATCCAATCAAAATAAGAGTTACTACTACACAATTTAATTTTTTTCTAGTAAATTTTATAGTAACCTAGGAGTACAAATGGACATAAAAATTAATTTTGACTATTTTATAAGGCTTAAATGGGAAAGGCTGGTGACCTAGTGGTGAGTTGTGCTGCCAGCTCTAAGGCACACAGTTCAAATCCACCAGCTGCTCTGTGGGAGAGGGAGGGACCATTACCTCCCATGTGATTTACAGCCTCTGAAAGCCTGCTGGAGGGTCAGCTATGAGTCAGTTCTGACTCAGTGGCATCTAGCGACAACTTATATATATCACCAAAGTATTACCATTTTTAACATGCAATCAATATTAACAAACTATTCATGAAAGACAGCTTACATTCCCTTTTGTACCACATCTTTGAGGTC